AAAAAAAGCATGTGTTTGTTAAAAGTTATTTTTCATTCAGTCTTGCAGTACCCTGTATGTATATTTATACAATGTTCTTGTATTTATATAATAACGTCAGCTTTGTGTGCACAGAAATGACGGATAATAAGCATATCCCCGGCAAACCGTAACGAATAATCGTATCACGTAAAGTAACCAGTCGACAGTAATATTAGATAAGCAGTTCCGTAACCTTCGGCGATTGCTGCCCGCAACAAGTTCCTAAGGTTGGAACATGGAGGAGCAGATCGTACCCACTCATCGCTTGAAAGCGAAAGAGGAAAAAAATGTCTATCACCGTTAGCTTCCGAATATGTTGCTACCTGTCCATCGTGTGAGAGATATCATTGAACGTCTGAATAATTTTTATCACGCATCTTAGGCAACAGTTGACAAAATGTTCCTCAAAAAATGCTTGACAAATAGATCCAAATCTCTGGGCTATTATTCTTGTAATGTTTTTTTTTAGTGTCGAAATTGTGACTCTTGTCAGTTATTTGGAGCGTGTGATAAATTATCATCGATAAAATGAAGATAATAATCAAAAGTTACATTGCGAAACAACTGGAACGATTATATTTCATCACTATATTTCATAGGAAATCGAGTCCTGTAATTCCAGTTTATATTTAGTGTATATAGCCAATTAACAAATAAATGCAATTTAATTGGTGATTTGTATCTACCTGAGCACTCGCAGCAGCGATCTAAAAAAACTTCTAAATTAAATCGGGCGAGATCGATCCTTCAAAGAGTCGTGGAGAATATCGACAGGATTGCGATAGTTTATAGTGACTCATTGCTCGATTATTTTTGTCATAAAGTCTGAAAATACAATCCCAAAGGGCTGCCTCGTCTAGTGACGCATATAATCGAGTCGGACTTGAGAGCCTTGAGCCTCTGCCAAAAATGAGGAAAACATTTTCAACGCGTACTTGAAGCTGTTCCATTTTATCAATTGACACCGTATTAATCTGCTACCCTTGTATCTTATCCGGGTGACTCTCTTTCTACCGTGGTTGTCTCTCCTTACGCTTAATTTACAGAATTGAAATTTGCACTGACGGAAACGGTCGACGTATTTGCACTCTGATCTCTACAGGACTCTTTCAAGATATAACACCCATAATTAACAAAGAAATGTGTATTAAATCTATTCCGAATAACGTATAAGAATAAATTTCAAAACGGTACAGAGAATCACGTAACAAAACGATGCAGAATGAAAATTTAAATGTTAAATGTTCGACGACAAACGAGAAAACAATTCGAATTAAGATAATTTAATTTCAAGGTAATTCATCGATAGTTAGTATGAAACGAAATATAAAATACGTACTTTCACTTCAACACATATGATGGCTCGCACTTTTTACATGGCACGATGATACATGCAGCATTTGAAAATCGCACCGTTATGTTCCGCGAGGTTATGTACAGCAGTTTATAAAATCCGACGGGCAAATATTCCGTAACTTTCGAGCCGAATACAACAATAGTAATGTTCTAACTTTTTCCGGAACAAAAGATTACGCATGACATGAATAGCAGCGTTTGAATACAACTCTATGTGTACTTTTATGTGCATACGTACGTAGTATAGTATATCGTGGCTCGATATGATGATCGAAGCTTTTAAGAGAAAAATGAAAAAAAAAAAAAAAAACAAGAGAAGAAATACGTATAAAATTTCATTAAATGGAAAGGTGATACGCTTAACTAACCTTTTTTTGTTGCTTTTCCCAAGCCGGGTCCAAAAGACCTTCCCTCTCCCATTCTTCCTCTGGCTCCATGTATCCGTCCCCGTAAGCTTCCATGTCGTTCATCCTTCCGCGGATATTTCACGTTCCTTGAAATGCAAACGATTTCTATGTCACCCGGTCTGCAAACGTTCTCCTATGTACGTACAAAATCTCAACGAGCAAACACACTCGGCTATATTCTCGGCACGACGATGTAGATCATAACCAAGACTGACAATCCGCTCAGACTTTTTTCCCCCTTTACATTTAGCTCCGCGCTAATAGCAAGCAGAACGCGTGTGCAAGTGTATCGTTGGTAGTAAGAAAATAAAATTCGCCAGTGCGAAGAGGAGAGAGGAAAAGGCACGCGCAGGTGATGGAAAGTGAGAAAGAAAGAGAGCAAATAAGGAAGGAAGTAACGAATAAAGTTTTAAAAAAGAAAAAAAAATAGAGAGAGAGAGAGAGAAAAGAAAGAACGGAAGACTAACTGAGAGTGGTGAAAGGTGTACGTTTTATAACGTGAAAACGTACCCGCTAAGTCCAGAAAATATTCGATTCGTGTCGTTCTTTCTCTCGCGCTGACCCCTCTGCCACGAGTCTGACACACGATTTGCTCGCCGGCGCACGAGCCTCCCCTCCTACACTCGGTTGCTTGTTCACTCGTTCATTCTCTCTCTCTCTCTCT